TGGTTTGTAGCCATGTTGCCTGCTTTGTAAGGTTATCTAACCCTGAGGCTCAGAGAACTCCCCAGCCATGGAAGGTTCTGAGGAGCCAAGGAGATGCCAGGCTCTGCTGGAATCCCATAGATTCCTTTCTGATGGAACAACCAAGTCCTCAAAGAACATTCTGGAAATGACTTTCCAAAATTATTTTGCTAATGACAGTCGCCTAGTTCCCTTCAGCACACTTCCTCTATGGAGAATGATGGTTTAGCAACCCAGACAAGACTTGAACTAGTTCTCCTGTCTGTACCTTCTGAGTGTTTGGATGTCAGGTGTCCAGCCACCACTTCTTGATTTGTTTAGAAGTTCTTTCCCGAATGTTAGCCTCCTGGTACTGCAGGTAGCAGCTTTCTTGGAAGTTGCTTCCATTCACTATGGAAGAGGCTTCTGCAGCTCTTCCTGATGACCCATGGGGGAGTGTGCTGGCATGTCAGCAGGGCCACTCCGCCCATACTTGGTGTGGCTACTAATATCTCTCAATGTGGACAGCTGCTTTCCCAAAGCACCCCTAAACACCTTTCGGGAATGGAGGTGTATTCACACCTTCCCTGCGAAGACAGGGTTAAAAGTGTTTGAAACCAGCTGTGAAATCATGGTCTCCATCATTAGGCAAGTCAGTGAGAACCAGGCATGTAGCACCCATCCCTTTCGAGGCAGGGTAGTTCTTCCCTTGTAGTTCTAGCTGGCCTTAAACTCACTACATAGTCCAGACTGACCTGGAACTCACGGAGATCTGCTTGTCTCTCTGCCTCCCAAGTGCTGAGATCAAGGGTGTGTGCCACCACGCTGGGCCTGCAGGGGGTCCTTTAGAGCCATCCAGGGCTGCTAACTTGGCCTGTAGCACTTCTCGCCCGGCCATTGGGAGAACAGTGGACTGTTGTGGACCATAAATGTGTACTGGCGCTGCTCAAACTCCCACACACATCGGCATTCATGAGGCCAGAGGTCACCTCGGCGGAGGAGGAGAAGTAAGAGCAAGGCAGTGGGGGTGCACATCTTTAATCCCAGCACTTGGGAGGCAGAGGCAGACAGATCTCTGTGAGTTCGGGGTCAGCCTGGTCTACAGAGAGAGTTCCAGGACAGCCAGGGTTACACAGAGAAACCTTGTCCCCCAAAACAAACACACATCTGCCTGCGATAGAATGTGTAGAATGTGTCTCTGCGATGTGTCAGCCTTCTTAGGACTGGAAGTGACGTTTATTGTTGAGGAGGTCTCCAGCCTTCCCTGAGTAGGCACGATTCCTCTTGAGTTTATACAGTGACAGAGAAGAGCAGAGGCCAGCCATCAGCCCTTCTGTGACTGGAGTCCCCTGTCCCCCTCCCGTGTGTGTGCATGTTACACTTGAGGGCATGTTCAAGCTTGTGTGGGTGCTCACCACTTACGTGTACAGGAGATCAGATCAATAGCATGGGGCGTCACCCTTCATCACTCGATCTTAATTACATTGAGACAGGTCCCCGTGTAATCTTGGTTGGTTTGGAACTCACTAAGTAAGACCAAGCTAGCCTTAAACTCAGAAACCCTCTGCCTCCTGAGTGCTGGGATTAATGGTGTGTGCCTCTGTAAAATTCTGAGATAGGGTCTCATAAATTAGCTTTCCAGTTGGTGGCTGGGACTCACCTGCCTTTGCATCCCTTTAGTGTTTGGGGTGCCAGAGATTGAACTCAGGTCCTTGTGCTTGCTTACAGGGACTTTACCCACCGAGGCACCTCCTCATGCAACCAGAGAACCGGGTGACACCAGAAATTATATTTTATTTAACATTGAAAGGACTAACATTTCATTACAAGGGTGAGAGTAGCCTTTTAATGAAAGCACTTTGTTTGGTTTTAATTCCACCTCCAGAGACACAGGCCAGCCCAGGACCTGTGAGCTGGAAGGCCTTCCCGACAGTGCTGTGCCCTCAAGCTGAGAATTAATGCAGCTCGCTTGTACACACACACACACACACACACACACACACACTTTAAAAGGTGCTTGATGTCATATAGAGAATTTGGGGCCATTATTAGAGACATTCTGTGTGTTACACATACAGGACACAAAATCAAAAAGAACCACCAGGCTGCAGTTTCTAGAAACTTACTGGCAGGAACAGAAGTTGTTTAACTTTGTGTGAACATTTCTGCTATCACCACAGGTGTCACCAGAAGGCATTAGAGCCCCCGTGAAATATTGGGGCTGCTCTCACTGACTGAGCCACTCAGCCTAGAGGGAGGAGCCATCACAGCTTCATATCCCGAATAAGGGAAAAAAAAAAAAAAAACCCGGGGCAAATGTCAAGTTCCTTTTATTTTCTTCTCTAAGTCGCTTGCAGGGCAGGTTCTTTTACAGTGAGTCGTTCTTTTAACAGCTCTAGCAGCTAGGGATGACAGGCAGCGGGTCCTGGGGAGAGGGGATGCTGAGCTCCCTGGGAAACCCTGCACACCCCGCCTCCCCATCCGATTCCACAGGATTCCCACAGTGGACGGGGCATTGCAGAGAACCAGCCAGAAGACACTCATCTGCCATCCTCTGGACATAGGTAGTACAGGCAGTTAGAGGAGAAGGGAGACAGGCAGAGGTTTCAACAGTCACGGATTGGCTGCTTATCCCTTTTATCTTTGCGGCAAGAGCCGTTCTTAATCCAGGCAGGAGATGGGAGACACAGCCTTCATGCATTACCGAGGTCTGCAAGCAGACCTGTAAAACCCACTTAGCTTCCTCACGGAGGGGCAGCGATCAGCCCAACTTGGCTTCCATTTTGTTCACTGAGTCTTCCTCATGGGACTAAGGGCACACCTGCTACAAGGAACAGAAGCTGTGGTTCGTGGAACAGCCCTACGGGGGGCCTAGAGGACAGTGTGCGGGACCCTGGGATTGACCTTGCTTGGGAGGAGGTGGCGGAAATGGAGAAAGCTAATCCTTGCTCTTGAAATCCAAAGCCAGGCCCTTGTCCCTGCACCCGGCCCTGGTACCCCTCCCCACCCTGGTACCCCCCCTTCTGCTATGAAGTTAGCAGTACTAGTCTGCAGCATGGTGTGCCAGTCCCAGTTTGCAGAGAATGTCTGAATTTATGCAAACTTTGGACAAAACCCAGGCCAGACCCTGAGGACATGCCCTTTCTGTCCCTGTCTCTGTAAGACTCCCATGTCTTTGATCCTCGGACATGATGCCAAGCTACCAGCTGCCCAGAAGAGGATGCCAACTTTCTCGAGCTCATGCCAACAGGGCGGCCTTCTCTGGGGCTTCTGTGCCGGGAAGGCATGAATGACCATCTTGGTTCTCGAGCGAAGATCTGTCATGTGAGAGGAACACAGCCCCATGGATGGAACTTCATCCATTCCTTAGGGCTTCTGGGATCAAATGCAGACGTGGTGGCCGCAGAGCTACCAGAGGGACCACAAGAGGCATAAGGTCTTTGGTGAGGAACATAGTAGAGTCCTCAAATGCTACTTATGGGGCTCAGCAGGTCCTCCTTACAGAATTGAGCTAGTGGGTGAGAGGCCCTTTGTCACAAGGTGCCATGAACAGGCGGACAGCTCACAGAAGGTAGACACAAGCAAGACAACAGGGCTGGCCCACAAGCTGGGGTTGGGACTTCAATATGGATCTTCCTGGGCCATGTTTAGAACCAGAGTGCAGGTGGGGAGGGGCCGGATGCCCTAGTCCCACCATAGAGCCACTGGGATGAAGGATGAAAGGTGTCAGTGCCGAGATGCTGGAGGATGGGTGACCAGAGGGGCTGAGGCAGAAGCCTCTGGAGAGGACACGTTTGCTGACATCCCGAGAGATACATGGGAGACAGGTGGGCGCTCAGTCCACCCAGTGCATGACTGGCCCTCCTTGTCTGGATTCTGGTAGTCACCCAGGAAACCAGTGGTGACGGCTGACGAAAGGCACAGTGTGAAATGTGCAAGGCCAGGCCAGGCAATCTGCAGGTGGACTGGGAGCCCAGCAGGAGCAGGGGTACACAGGCGCAAGTCCAGTCGGCTTTGTGGCCTGTGTGAGTGGGAACAGGAGTGAGGTGGACAACCCCTGTGTGGGGCTGAGGAAGAGAAATGCCCCTGCCAGGACAACGGGCAGAGCCAGGGAGCAAGGCTACGAAGAGAAGGGGAGGTGGGACATGGGAACCCAGCCTGCAGAGGAGCGGGATGCCCCGTCAGCCTGGGTGGCGCTGGAGACCTGTGGGGACAAGTGGGCTGGATGATGGTGGCTCCTGGGGAGGCTCACGGGGGACTCTGGCCACGTGCACTGCCTTTAGGAACCTATAACACAAAAAGAAAGAAGAAAAGCCCTGGGTTAGAGAAAGCCACAGGTGAGAGGCAGGCATTTTGCCACTGGCAAACTGCTTGCCTTAGGGAGAAGGGCAGGGATTTCAGTAACTGGTCGCCAGAGTGGCTCTGTCGTGGAGAGCTTTCGAGGTTTAATCATTGGTTTTGAGACAGGCTCTCAAGTAGCCTAGGGTGACCTCAGATTCTCTATATAGCTGACGATGACCTTGAAGTCAAGGTCATGTTTCCACTTTCCACAATCTGGGAAGACAGGCCTGGCTTTTTATTGGCATCTTTAGCTGGCCCCATCTCTGGACCAAAACCAAAGGTCAATAGGTTGACTACTTGCTCAACCGATCTGTGTTTTCTTTTTTTGGCCAGGATGGTGTGAGAAAGCTAAAAGGCAAATTCTCTCTCCCACTGCAACTGGAGGTCTCTCTGCAGTAAGGACGGGCGCCCTGGGCGAGGGGGGAGCCTGAGGCTGCCTGCTTCACTGAGGGCGGAAGCTCTCCATCGGCAGAGGCCAGGGAAGACACAAGGAAAGCAGATGCTCCAAGCCCTGAGGACAGGAGGGATAGGAACAGGGAGGCAGAATTATTTGGAAAAACAAAGAAGCATTTGGCTGGAAAATTCCTCAGTACCAGAGGTGAGAGAGTTACACACTTAACACAGAGAGTAATGTTCTTGAAAAAAGAGAAAAATCACTTAAATTACACAGCACCAAGAAAAATAATAACATTTATTAGAGAGGCAGATACGAGGGCACAACTGGAGGATGACAGGCAGATTCTTTTCTCTTAGGATGAGAATAGAAAGAAACAACCATGACAGCTGTAGTCAAACAACTTACTCAGAGCCCAGGGTTTTACAATAAACTCAAGTGCGCAGCAGCCAGCCGGACCTAGCTACAGTGCAAGAGTCCACGGGCCTCCCCAATAGTTATAAAAACAAAAAGTGGTTAGGCAGAAGAATAACAAATAAAACAGATAGGTAAAAGACTAAAACAACACTGTTCAAAGACTCTGTTTAGTTTTCAAATTGCAATATATACAAATATACCCTGCGGGGTAGGATTATGGACGTGTTCAACAGAAGGGGATGTAAAAAGCAACATTACCCCATGAGACTCAGAGTAGTCTAGTATTTTGGCAATGATTAAGATACCACACACGTACACAGAAAGTGCCCTGGCATTATTTTATAAAAATCCAAAAGGTGCAGCTGGGCAGTGGCGGGCACACGCCTTTAATCCCGGAGGCAGAGGCAGGCGGGTCTCTGTGTTTGAGGTCAGCCTGGTTTACAGAGCAAGTTCCAGGACCTGTTTGGAACCCCCCCCCCCCCCCCCCCAAATGCAAGAGCTGCTTTGAATTCTTGGGAGTTGGGAAGCAGAACTGGACCTGTAGGGGTTTGGGGCATGGGGGACAAGGTTTGGGAGAGGCTAGGTGGGATGAAACCTGCCCTCCAAGCTGGGGATAGCTCCCAGGTGACTGTTAATCTCAGATATACCTTCCAAATAACAGGAAAAAGCTATAGCTCACCTCTCCCACTATGCATTCATTTATTTATTTTCTGTTGTTTTGAGATAAGGTCTCACTATGTAGCCCTGGCTGGTCGTTCCAGGTCGGCCTCGACCTCACAGAGATCCGGCTGCCTCTGACTCCCGAGTGCTGGGGTTATAGGTGTGCGCCATCACTGCCCTGCTCTCTAGTTTCTTACATCGAGTTGTGTTTGCTTTGTGTGGATGTGCACATGTGCTATGGCATAGGAAGGTCAGAGGTCAACTCTTGGGAGTTGGTTCTTTGCTTCAACCATATGAGACCCAGGCTTGGGGACAGATGCCTGTCTCTGCTGAGCCATGTTCCCCTAACCACACCTCCAATCTCCTTTTTCTGACAGCAGACTATAGGAGGAATTCCTACCATTACCACTAAGGAGACAGGAGCTATATAACATCACTCAGTGCAGACAGTGTTGGGCCCGTTCATCTGTTAGGATGCTAAGGTTCGGTTTAGCAACACACACTTAAAAGTGCGACCACAGACGCGTATCCAAACGGGCATTTCCCTCACCCCAACTTGCATAAGGGAAACCCCTCCATTTCACCCAGCAAGCTGTTCACCTGAAGGGGCTCTGGGATGACTGACATTGAATACACTGTGACAGCGAAAGTTACTCACACGAAATACGAGTTACAGAATTAATGGGCACTGAAATGTCAGGTGGGCTGGGCCAGCTTCCTATTTCTGAGACTGTATTAGGCTATGAGGTATGGCTGCTGGGGCCTTGGAGAGGGCATGGGACCCTTTGTGCCACCTTTGTAACCGCCAAGAGCCCGTCACTACTTCAAAATATTGTCTTTAGTACAGCAATCACAAGACTGAGACGGGGGACAGAGCTCAAGGCTAGCCTGGGTTCCATAGCAAGACACTGCCTCAAAAAAAGTGAAAAGCCAGGCTGTTGGTAACTAAAGCTTGCTCAATGCCACTTCACCGGCCCTTGTGAAATTCAGGCGAAGTCACTGCCAGAATCTTGAAACTGTTTCGGGTTCCTGAGGCCAGAGAGATGTACCAGCTGTCACTTTTAGAGTCATTGCAGCGGTAGTGAATCTGCCAGTGAGCACGAAGCCCGATCCCATCCCCAACCACATAAAAAACAAACAATCAAAACAGCTTATTAAAATGAGCCCCTAATATAGAGGCAAAGAGTTATTTTCTGCTTAAAAATAAGATGTAAATAATTTCCACAGTCAGACAGGAAGGACCAGATGTGAGCCAGGTGGTGGTGGCACACGCTTTTATTCCAGCACTCGGGAGGTGGAGGCAGGTGGGTCTCTGAATCCAAGGCCAGGCTGGACTACAGAAGGAGTTCCAGGATAGCAAGGCACACACAGAGAACCACTGTCTCCAACAACAACACCAAAAGGGTCAGATGTGAACAGATGCAGCTCCTTGGTGACCTTGAGGTCATGATGGGCACAATTCAGTCCTGGACCACTTCTGGGTATCACCAATGCCACTCTCTCCCCTCCAATATCAGCACTGACTTAAAAATGCAAATTCCTACATGGCCCAGATTCCTTCAGAACACGGAGACCGTTTATTTTATTCTGACTGTAGTTTAGTCAGATCAAATGTGCCAGAAACCCCAAATGATGGCTAGTAAGTTCAAACTTTGGGTCTTATAGTTGTCAAAGATTAAAAAAAAAATCTTCCTCTTAAAAAGGGACTTGCAGGGGTTGTTGCATGCAGTGGTACACCAAGTTCTGCTCATGGCAAACCTTCTGGCAAGAATAGAACCGAGTATGAAAACATCACGACCCCAGGGTGTTGGGCAACTATCCGCTGTACACCTGCCTCACCAGCTTGAAGCCACCCTACCATCGACCGAGGCCGTCAGGTGGAGCCAGAAGACTGTCATGTCATGTCAAAGTTAAATCGCTCAAGGAGCACACCTTTCTGGACATATCTTGGTTGTTTGGGGCACTCAGACAATAAAAGGGCCTGAGCAGCAACTGTAAGGACACTCAGCATGGGCACCAAGAAAATGTTATCATCTTTACTTAAGGGCTGGGAGACGTTACTCAGTTCCATTGATGAAATAACAAATGTTAACTTTCATTTATTTAATTTTTACTGAGTCTTACTGTGTAGCCCAGGCTAGCCTGAAACTCGGTGGGATGCTTCTGACTCAGCCTCCTGAGTGCTGGGATTATAGGTATGACCCACCACCACACATTTTAAAAATCTACATACTTTTGTTGAAAGGAATGGAAACACTGATGAGATTTCAAACAACACAGTTGTAAGCAGGCCGGGGCAGCTCTGCACACAGCCAAGGTGGACAAGCAATCTCAGGCACGAGATGCCCCCAGCTCCCCGAGTGTCTGTATCACGTGCTCTCTGCTGGCCTCTTGAAGGCCTATGACACCCAAAGCGGTTGGGAAAGACAACTCCAATGCTTTTAAGGGTTTTTGTTTTTGTTTTAAGTGGATTAAATATAAGTCTTAGCACCTTTGGCGTTTTTGTCTAAATAGACTTCGACGTAGGAAGTAGGGACATAGCCCTCCTCGTCTTCATTTCTGCGGATGCGAGTCCACCCATCGCCCTTGTCCTCCTCGATCACACTCAGCATTTCTCCTTCCACCACGGAAATGGTGCCTTCATTCTGACCTGAAGAAGTAAAGGGAGAGGTGAGGTCTCTCGGGCAGGGCTGGAAGGGCCCTTGCAATGGCGTAGGTAGAAGCAGGATGAGATCAGCATGGAGTATGTCCCCTTGGTCCTCCGCACTGTCACGTGTTTTCCTTCCTTAGGTCCTCTGAGCGCCGTCCATACCTCCCCACAAGCCCGGGTGAGTCTCTGCTCCCCTCAGGGTTTCTCCTGGGGCAGAGGCAGGGAGGAGGGGTCCTCCCTCAGTTCTAAAGTGCCTTCTATCAGGGCCCTCATCTCTTTCCCCTTCTGGCACTTTCTGAAGACAAGGTTCTACTTTTCCTACTCCCTCTAGGACTGTCCCCCTTGTCCCTAGCCCCTGGAAATGTAGCCCAGGAGATCTGGGTGCACTGGGACACTCCTCTTACTGTTCTGTCCCCACGGCATCTCTGAGCACCCAAGGATCAGCCATGATGCTGGCCTTGGCTCTCCTCCTCTTTGCTAAGTCCTGTCAGTCACAATACAGCTATGTCTTCTCCTTAGCCAAGGCCCTAAGACAGTTCTCGTTCTTCTCTCTCTCTCTCTCTCTCTCTCTCTCTCTATATATATATATATATATATATATATATATATATTGTGCATTGGTATTTTGCTTGCATGCATGTCTGTGTGAGGAGGGTGTTGGGTCCCCTGGAACTGGAGTTACAGAGAGTCGTGAGCTGTCATGTGGGTGCTGGGAATTGAACCGGGGTCCTCTGGAAGAGCAGTCGGTGCTCTTTACTGCGGAGCCTCTCCCCTCCCCCCTTTTGAAAGTTCTCTAAGGTCATTTAAAAGTCAGAGCCACACCCCTAGGCCAGTTTTGGGATTGTATGATGGTTAGTTCTGTCAGGTTGACACAACCTAAAGTCCCCTGGGAAGAGGTCAGTGAAGAACTATACAGCATGGTGGCCTGTGGGCCTGCCTATGGGAGAATTTTTTTTTCTTTTTTTTCCTCCAAGACAGGGTTTTCCTCTGTAGCTTTTGGCTGTCCTGGAACTCACTCTGTTGACCAGGCTGGCCTCAAACTAAGAAATCTGCCTGCCTCTGCTTCCCGAGTGCTGGGATTAAAGGTGTGCGCCACGCCACTACTGTTGGGCTTGTGGGTGTCTGTCTTACAACCACCATAAATGATGTGGGAAGGCCCAGCCTGAAAGCGGGCGACACCTGAAAGCTCACTGCTGTGTAAAGGAGAAGCTTAGCAGAGCCTTCTCTCTTGGCAGTGGGTGTGAGCAGCCACTTCAGGTCTCTGACTTGGCTCCCTGCTGTGACGGACTGGGACCTGGAGCCCTGAGCTAACACAGACGCTTTCTCCTCTGCGTGGCTCTGTCAGCGTATTTCTTTATAGCCACAGAATGAAATGGGGGGGGAGGGGCAAATGGTTTAGGGAACCATCACAGCAGGGTCACTCTGTGTGTCTGTGTGCGAGGTGGTGGTGGGGTGACACAAAGTCAAGCTTTACTGACGATTTCCCTGAGCCCTAACTGGTTCTCTCCGCATCCTCTGTAACTCTGGGCAGCACCATGTCTAGGCACACAGGACAGAGGCATGATGCTGACGGTCCACCCTGTTTCCTGGCTGATCCCACAGGACAATGGCATGCCTGTCAACAGCTTAAACACCGTCCTCAGTGCAGGTGGAGGAAAAACTAACATTTCTTTTTTTCAGCCAGGTAGTCTACTTTCCGTGTGTGTGTGTGTGTGTGTGTGTGTGTGTATGTGTGTGTGTGTGTGTTAATGTGTGTGATGTGTTATGTAAGTGTGTGATAGTGAGTGTGTAGTGTATGGTGGGCAGAGATTGATGTCAGGTTGATTATTATTGGTTTTCCATCTTATTTATTTATTTATTTAAAGACTCTTTTACTGGGGCTGGAGAGATGGCTCAGCAGTTAAGAACACTGACTACACCAGGTGGTGGTGGAGCACGTTTTTAATCCCAGCACTTGGGAGGCAGAGGCAGGTAGATCTCTGTGAGTTCAAGGCCAGCCTGGTTCCCAGAGTGAGTTCTGGAGTGGGGGAAAAGCACTGGCTGTTCTTGCAGAGGACTGGGAGTCACCAGCATCCATGCGGTGACTCATAACCACCTGTGACTCCGGTTCCGGAGGATCTGATGCTCTCTTCTGGCCTCGGCAGGCATCAGGCACTAACATGGTTCACACACACACATGTAAGCAAAACACTCATTCACATAAAATAAATAAATGTCTTCTTTAATTTTACTGTATGTATGAGAGAGAAGGAGAGAGATAAAGAGAGTTCTGATCTCTGGGAGAGAGGGGTCTCCTAGTCAGTTTAGAAAGGCGGAAGATCTCCCCTGGGCAGCAGTACCTTCAAATGTGTAGAGGGCCTTGCAGGTCCCTATGGCAGGAAGTGGTTCCTCATCATCAAATTCATCATCAAAATCTGTGGCCAGCACCTTGAGCTCGCTCTCCTGGCTTTGCTCCTCTGTGTAACTACCATCTGGGCTGCTCAAGAGAGGAAGACATACAGCAACTATAGCGACCAACCTGGAGACGTGGTTCTGCCCGCACCACCATGGGGCAATGCCACCTCAGATCGTCAGCCCATACTGGATGGTAAGTTGAGATATTTTCATGGGGGGCAGAATGAGAGGTGATGGAAACAGATGCTCTTGCCTTGTGTTCATGAGATATTCAGAACTTAGAAGTAAGTACAAAGCCAGACGGCCCCTCTGCCAGAGACGGCCCCACAGGTACTGTACCTCTCCCGGTCCTGGGCGCAGTTAGTGACTGTCTGGTGTGTCTGACCGTCGTACATTCCACTCTGCCGGCGTGCCTGCTCACTCCGTGCTGGGAGTCTGCCTTCCACCTCAGCCAGCCAGGCCTGGAAGCAAAAACCACAGAAGACTTGGACCTGGGCTAGCCTAGGCTCAATCATGAACTGTCAGGCCTTAGCTCAGGGCTGGAGTCACCTAAAGCTGATGTTCAAAGACCTGGTTGATGTCTCAGAGACTATACTAGCTGGCCATGCAGGTGGGCTCCTAGGCAACCGCTCCATCCTCCTGCAAAGCTGGGGGAGGGGGAGGGAGGCCCTTGCTCACCAGATTTACCAATCATTCCACATGGCAGAAAGCAGGCACCACTGGGCTACACTCTTGGGCAGCCCTGTAATCATAGATAAATTGCTCTATATATCTTTCTGATTCAATCCCGTGGCTCTGAGGTCATCCAGGGAAACCCCACAGCCCGAGGTGTGTCAGTAGGGTGGTTTTCCTCTCCGGGGACATAGACCAACACTGCCATCACAGAGACCACTGATGGGTGAGGGTGGAGGGGCTCCCCGGGGGCCTGCCCAGAGGCACCCTTCCCCTTGCTACCCCTTCCTTAGCACCTGTCCCCCACACCTCAAACTTCTGTGTCTCCAGCCGCAGTCTCTCTATGTTCTGGGTGACTTCAGCAAGTTTGTGGTCCAAGCTGGTCGGGTCTCCCATCTGCGGGTTCTTTAGGTACACGTCTTTCATTTTGGTGATAGCATCCCTGAGGAAGGAATAAGGACAACATGGGGACTGAGGACAGAGCCAATAGGGGTTTCTGTCTGACTGAAAAGCCCTTAACAAGCTCCCACTGGCTATCACAGACCTCCCATCACCTCTTACCAGTATTGCTCTGAAAAATTAATAGTAGTTATTAATATCCATTATCCTTCTGACTTGGTGAAACACACTGGTGATCCCAGCACTCAGGAGGCCAAGGCAGGAGGAGCCCAAATTGGAGGCTAGCCTGGGCTACGTAGTGAGATCACGCCTTTTCTCCTTATGGTTTCTTCTGACCAATTTCTTCAAAAGTTCACTGATTTTACTCGTCTCTGTGTGTGTGTGTACATTCATGTGTGTTGCGTGTGTGCACACGCAGGTCACATTCATCTGTCTCTTGTCGACCTACTCCTTTTCTTTAAAAGAGGTATTTATCTACACGTTTATTTTTTGTGTGCCCGACAGGAAATCACCACCTCTGTTTATATACGGCGCTTCAATGTGGGGTCAGAATTTCCACAGAAGACCTAACAAAGCCTAAAAATAATTCTAAACACACAAAATCAGAGCTAAGAGCAGCTTCGTAGTTCACGTCTCTGACACGGGCCACGGTGAGAGGGCCCGAGCTGCAGCATGGTGGATTCCCAGCCTCACATGGGCCGTGGTACAGGGAGGAGTCTCCCAGCCATGCGCTGCATGATAGGACAAGGGCTTTTTGTTCATGTAGACAAAAGGGTTAGAAAGACACAGTAAAGACAGATTCAGACAAAAAGACCTCTGAACAGATCACAGTGTTTAAAAAATATGCGTATGCTTGAGAGAGAGAAGAGAAAGGATAGAAACAGTCATAGCTTTAAAAAAATGATTTTTAAAATAATAAAGTCTTTTTTGTTTTTGTTTTTTTTTTTTTGGAGACAGGGTTTCTCTGTGAAACAATTCTAACTGTCCTGGAACTCACTTTGTAGACCAGGCTGGCCTTGAACTCACAGAGATCCACCTGTCTCTGCTTCCCAAGTGCTGGGATTAAAGGTGTGTGTCAGCAAGACCCAGCTAAAATAATAAAGTCTTTAAAAAGGGAATAGAGTGATAAAAAATAATGAGCCACGTAAAGACGGAAAATACACAGAGAATCTGGATTATCTATACCATTGTGCTGTCTTTAGATTTTTTGACTGTAAATGAGCAAATAGCTGAGAGACATTTGATTATTAAAGCTGTTAGATTAAGTCAACCTACATGTTTTAAAAATACCTTGACTTCAAAATTTAAGTCAAAAGGTATGTTACTTTGGGAAAGAGATTCTGCTTTTATTTCCACAGGAAATGAGAGGCTGTGGATTCATTCTGGGTTAAGAAAAATCAGGTTTGATTGAGGAAGACCCACTGAAAAATCTCTGATGGGAATGGATGGCCCAGATGACCCAACATTTCAGAGCGCCTTTGTTACAGTTTCCTCTGAGTTCTGCATCCAAAACAGCTCAAGGCTGCTGGCTGAGATGATCCAGCCCCATATAATACTCCAGTCAGGACTTAACCATAATTCTAAATTTTCTTAGGGTCCCTCAAAGATCACCAGTGCCCATCAATCAGCAGGAAAGAGTCTAGAGAACCACACCCAAATTCCCAAAATATCCAAGAAAAAGGAAGAAAGGGAAATATGATATAGACGTGACATAGAAATAACGGGGGGGGGGAATAGATTATTGAATCTACTTTAATACAAAAAACAACAGTTAATCTCAAATTATTTTACATTGGCATGGATTTTAGTTTATTAATATAAATTTAAAGTTAATTTGTTATACTATATATATTTCTATTCTTGTTTAAAGTATTGTGTTTATACAGCTTAATTAAAAATGTAATGTATAATTAATAAATACAGAATCACAAAAATACAGTTAGTCATCTATAATAGTTGAACTTATAGTCATGTTAGGTTTTCTAGATATATAAAGATAAATTTCAAATAGTGATCTTCAAACACTTCAAAGACTTATAGAATATGGCATTTAAAATGTTTTAATAACTTAGACTTTTCATGACAGTGAGACACATCAGCTCCTGGCAGCACCAATGTAGGCCAGAAAAGAAGATGGGCATCAAAGAAACTCCGTATGGAGTTTGTCCTCTCTATGGCAAAAGCTAGCCATATGGGCAAAGAAACTGCCCTTGTCTCAATGGCTGAGAGTTACTGTCCAAACTGGACCAGTAGGAAGCAAGAAAGGCCACTGCCAAACTTTGCCAAGACAAAGTAGGACAGAGGACAGTCCTTCAAAATTCTCTGCTTCCCAGGAAAGTCTGTGAGCTATGCTGGGTCTGTGGCCAGAGTTGGATGCCCCAAGGCTACAGAGGAACCCTGGGTGACTGTCCAGGCAGTCAACTGTTTCTGTCATTTCTCATATTTTTTGGAAGTTGTTTACCTATGCTTTCTTCTTACTCAGGTAATATTATTTTCTTCTCAGGTCTTTGATGGAGTTGAAGACTAGACAATTATAGTTACAATCTTTCTTAGTTATAATAAAAGATAAGTTTGATATAAAACTTTAAACTCACCAAGATAGGATAGTTAAATATTTTTTTCTAGTTTTGTCAAATACAAATAGACTAGATATTGTACCTGTAATTCTTACTTGATAACTGTTTTGTTATATCTAATTTTACTATGTTGAAGTTAAAGCCTTCCTTTTTGATTAGGCGGAAAGGGGGAAATGCTGTGGAATAATCCTTCTGTACACTGGGAATATGTACTACTCTAATTGGTTGATAATGAAGCTAATTTGGCCTACAGTAAGGAAGACTATGTCTAGGCAGGAAAGCAGAGAGGAAGAAGGGCGAAGTCAGGGAGAGATGAGCCAGCTGTTAGGGAAGCAAGACGCTAGAGGACAAGCAAAGTTACGAGCCATGTGGCAAAATAGAGATTAACAGGGATGGGTTAAAATGGGTAAAATCTGGTTAGCAGTAAGCCTGAGCTATCGGCTGAGTGTTTTATAATTAATAAAAGCATTTGTGTGATTATTTGGGACCGGGTGGTCTGGACAGGAACTCTCTGCCTCCATTTACGTGTGTGTGTGTGTGTGTGTGTGTGTGTGTGCAGGTGAGCATGCCTTTGTGAGTACAGAGGCCACAGCAGCAAGCATATCTTCTTCACTCTTGAGGTAACCACAAGAGATCCCTTCAACTATTCCCACCGGGGAGCTTGGGTTAGAGATGTTTGTGGGGTGCTTGGCATGTTTTGTGGGTGCTGGAATCTGAACTCCAGTCTGATTACACAGCAAGGGAGTATAAGTGTGGAGCCCTTGCTCTAGCCACTCCCCCTGTTTTTGGAGACAGGGTCTCTCACCAGCTGGCCAGCGATGGGATTACAGACCTGCACCAGACCTGCACTGCTGTGCCTGGCTTTTACATGGACAATGGGGATCAGAACTCAGTTCTTCACGCCTGCATAATAGGCACTTTTCCCACTGATCTGTCTTCCCAGTCCTCATTTTACTGAAATCTTTCAGGAACCAGACTTTTGTGTCTGTAGCTTCTTTTTGAAGAGCATTATTTTCTCTTGGTTTTTCAAGACAGGGTTTCTCTGTGTAGCCCTGGTTGTCCTGAAACTTGCTCTGTAGATCAGGCTGGCCTCAAACACACAGGGATCTGCCTCTGCCTCCCGAGTGCTGGGATTAAAGGAGTGTGCTCCACTGCCTACCCCCCCCCCTTTTTTTTTTGCTTTTTAAAAATACGTTATTTTCATTATTTTCAGTTAGGTGTGGAGGGTGTGTGCACATGAGTGTGAATGTTCTCTGAGGTCAGAGGCATCAGCCCCTCTGGGAACTGGCATCACCTGGTGTGGTTCTGAGAACAGAATCCAGATCCTTTTCAAAAGGAACACACGCTCTTAACCACTGAGCCCTGCCTGCCTTCCTTGCTTCTCTTTGGACACTGGGCCCACTCTACATTGCAGGCTGGCCTCACTGGTCAGCAATCGTCCTGCCTCAGACTCCAACCACACGGCTGCTCTCTCCTGTCTATGATGACCTTAACCTGCGGGCTCCTCCCGAATTTCATGAAGAGGTGCCCCAGTTAACACACTTCTGGTTTTTTTTGTTTAACTTAGTTCTTGTTTTGTTTTGTTTTGTTTTGTGAGATGGGGTCTCTCTGTGTAGCTCTGGCTGCCCTAGGACTCACCTAGGACCAGGTTGTCCTCGAACTCAGAGATTCATCTGCCTCTGCCTCCCAAGTGCCCCTACCGCCTGACTTAAAAAAAAATCTATATTTATCTATTATGTTTAAAGTGTTCTACCTGCATGTATGCTTGCATGTCAGAACAGAGCACCAGATCTCATTACAGATGGCTGTAAGCCACCACATGGTTGCTAGGAATTGAATTCAGGACCTCTGGAAGAACAGCCAGGCCTCTTAAACTCTGGGTCATCTCTCTAGCCCTCTTTTCCCCTTTCCCGTAAAAACAGTAACAAACAAACAAAAACCCACCACAAACAATCAAACAGAAACACCCCCACCTCCGGCCCCTGAGAGAAAATACCTAAGACTTCCAATACCCTGGGCCTGAGCAGAAGCTCACTGGGCCGCTAGTCTGCTAGTGACCAGAGCAGACCAGCGCAGACCAGAGCAGACCAGCGCAGACCAGAGCAGACCAGCCCAGACCAGAGCAGACCAGCGCAGACCAGCGCAGACCAG